GCTCAGCAGCCCCCACATGGTCTGGGGGATGAAGGCTCAGCAGCCCCACATGGTCTGGAGGGGGGAGGTGCAGAGCAGACTGAGAGGTGAGGCCATTCATCCTTACCGACCCTCCTTGTCTTACAGCCTTTGCCATCATGATTGTGCTGGCCCTGGTGCGCATCGGGAAAGGACAAGGAGAGGGGCACCCGCCCCTAGCCAACTTCTTGGGGGTCCAGAACCTGTTTGGGGTGTGTGTCTACTCGTTCATGTGCCAGCACTCCCTGCCGTCCCTCATCACCCCCATCTCCTCCAAGCGCCGCATCACGCGGCTGCTCTTCCTGGACTACGCATTGATCCTGGCCTTCTATGGGCTGCTGTCCTTCACGGCCATCTTCTGCTTCCGTGGCGACAGCCTCATGGACATGTACACCCTCAACTTCGCAAGGTGCGAGGTCGTGGGCCTTGCAGCTGTCCGGTTCTTCCTGGGCCTCTTCCCCGTGTTCACCATCAGCACCAACTTCCCGATCATCGCGGTGACCCTGCGCAACAACTGGAAGACGCTCTTCCACCGTGAAGGTGGCACCTACCCATGGGTGGTAGACCGCGTGGTGTTCCCCACAATCACCCTGGTACCTCCCATTCTGGTGGCCTTCTGCACCCATGACCTGGAGTCCCTGGTGGCCATTACAGGAGCCTACGCGGGCACTGGCATCCAGTATGTCATCCCTGCCTTCCTGGTGTACCTCTGCCGCAAGGACACCCAGCTGACCTTTGGCTATGGAACGGTCAACAAGCATAGGTCCCCGTTCCGCCACACCTTCTGGGTGGCCTTCGTGCTGCTATGGGCTTTCTCCTGCTTCTTCTTTGTCACAGCCTACATCGTCCTCAAGGAGACCCAGCTCTGATAGCAGATGCGTCTGACAACAGGAGGCAGAGACAGCCCATACTCCCTGCATCAATGCAGGACTTAGCTGCCACCCAGGTCGACGGAGCGTGCTAGGCTGGGGCTCCTGGAGAAGGCCTTCTACGTCTCTAGCTGCTGTCCTCTCCCCACCGAGGACGTTATCCTGCAGGACAGCCCTCCTGCGTGGGAACATGGTTGTCACCCACATTCCTCCACTCCTGCCACTGGAGGCCGGCTCCCTCCTCTGCAGTGGAGGAGAGAGTGGTGACCCTGCTGCTATTTATACTAGACCCCATGCCCCCTCCTGCATCCTCGGCCATCCACTAGCAGCTGCTGCCTCTTCAAAGGCGAATCGCAGGCCCTGGCTCTCCTAACCTGGCCTGCTTGGGAAGGGTGGGGCCCTTTTTCCTGCCAATCCTGAAAGTTGCTAAGTTGTGTGTTTTTTTCCCTATGGGAGGCCTGGCCAGCTCTAGTGACAAGGACAGGAAGTGCTAATTGGCACCAGGGTCCCTAGGCAAGAGCCGTGAGAACTTCTGCTGTGGGTGCCAGCCCTGGCACAGCAGATGGATGAAGTATCCTTCCACAGTGTGTAAAGCCCTTTGCTTGGGTCCCTGAGAGGGGCCCTCTGTCCCCTGGCTTCTCCTTTGGAGGCCAGGGGCCCTCTAAAGTTCGGGGTACCACTTGAGAAGCTGCCCTCGGCACTACCACCCACAACCATAGTGGCTGACCACCCTGCACTTAGAACAGGGAGAGCACAGAGTGACCCTCTGCAAAAGATCAGGCTGGTGTGAGGCAGCCCAGCTTGCTGCCAAGCTACATTGCAACACTAAGGTGGTGCCCTCAGGAGCCTGGTCACGGGTGCTCAGTGGCCAGCCTCTCCAGGTCCCTGGCTGCCGTGGAGCTGGAGGGGGTGTGTACCACCCTTCCTATGGAAGGCCAGGCTGCCAGCTGCCTCCTCTTGATCACGCTCGCACCCGCTAGGCCCAGTGCCTTGGAATGATGATTATGAACTGCATTTTCGCTGTGCCTTCTGCTTTGGGCACCAGGGATCCCTCCTGACCCTGACTTGCCCCAACCCTGGGCCTAGTCCCACCTGTCCTGGACAGAACTGCCTCTGGGGTGGAGGGTCTCAGACCCTGCCCCTCCCTCTTGATTTCAGTGCCTTGCTCCACCCTAGTGAGGGAACTTGTGCAGCCCCCCCCTTCCCTTCTACGTCTTGCCATATTTAAAACTTAAACTCTGCTGTGTTGTTGGATGTCCCAGAACCCAGGGGCCTGTGCAGAACCTGCCAAGAATGTGGGACTCACTGGCAGCACCTGCCACCTCTGGCCCCAGCGTCCCTGCCTCTGAGCATCTCCAGATGGAGGTGGGCCAGGCCGCACCTTCTCACCACTGTCCCCCATCCATAGTTCCAGCCACATGGAAGATAGACGTCCCTGTGCCAGTCTGCCAGTGCAGCATCTTCCCAGGAAACCCTGGCCCACGTGCGTCAAGAAAGGAAAGCAATACAGTAGCAGGCCCAGGAGGAAGGAACAACTGCCCATCATCATCCATGCCTCACCCCGCCCCCGACTCTGGCTGTGTGCTGAGAACTCAATTAAAACACTCTGTACTTACCCTTCTCCCTCCTGCTTAAGGGCAAAGCAAATTAAATCTTCCTCCTGCAACACACACACCTCACCCCACCCCCAGGCTCCAAACTGAATTTTGGTGGAAAATTTATTAGCATCATAAAGCCCGAGTTGATTTATGTGGCAATCTGGAGCCATACACAGTGGCTGCCACATTCCCCACCCCCAAGTTAAGCTAGGGAAGCCCCAGCCAAGGCAGGAGGAGGGACGACGCCAAGCCAACCCTTCCCGCCGTCTGGTTTCTTTGTTCCTTCGTCTCCACCTATTGTCTGACCTGCTAGAAGTCATGTGAGGTCACCTTCCTCACCACACCAGGCCTCTGTCACTGTCTCCTGTCTCCTGTCACTGCCAGGGGAGTTGGACACAAAGAGGAGAGGACATAGCGTGTGTGGGTGTCATTTGTCCCCTCCCACACACACACACACACAGACATCAAGCACACTAAATGTTTGTGTATCACCTGGGTAAGGTGACAAGCTAGGTCATGGTATCTGTTTGCAAAGAGGCCCTGGGATTGGTGGTCCGGAGGACAGCAACGAGCCCACCCGGCCTGGCCCAAAATCCGAGTCTCTGAGACTCAGCAGTTGTCACTGCCGTCTCTCTGCATTGCTGTGGGCCCGTCCTGAGGGCAGGGCAGGTCAAGGTGGGAAGGATTGTTCTCCACAGAGCACCAGGCCCAGCTGAGCATCAGTACAGCGCCAGGAGCTCTGGCTGTGCCTCACCTGAGGCTGGTAGGTGGGCCAGATGGCAGGTGACAGGCAGTGAGGCACTGCGGAGCGGTAAAAAGTGGCAGCAGGCGCCAGGCCCAAAGCCACACACCTGTCCTCAACACACGGGGCCAAGAGCAGCCTCAGCAACAGGCAGTGGCTGTCTCTCAGGGCTCCAGACCCAGGGTCAGAGGAAGGCAGACGTCTGTCTAAGGAATAAAGTCCCAAGCGAGTAAAGTGTGGGGGCTGCAGAGACGCTGCCTGTCGACCTTCCTCCCAGGGGCATGCTGCAGGCCTGGCACTGTGCTGGATACATTGTGAAGACCAAACTGTCATAACCCCCATACCCTGTGGCCTCTAAGCAGCAAGCATCTGTAACCCTCCCTCTTGTGGGGACCTCCAGATCATAGGTCATGGAAACTAAAGGACTGAGCTTACCCCAGCACCAAAGTCCTTAATAAAGCTGCTAAGACCCACACTTGTCTCCTTTGTCACTTGCCAGCCATGACTGTCCTGGTAACCCAGGACTGACAGGACTCGGGTTGAGACCCCCAGATACTGCTCAGCTTTACCCCCCTCCTAACGAAGCGATGACCTTGGGGCTGCTGCCTGCCACGCTCCAGAACCAGAGTGCCACAATGGAGCCACCCAAATCTAGGAGGCTGTGGGAAGAGAAGGATTGGCTATAGATCCATAATCTCATAGGAAGCTCGAGGACCACCCTCTTCTTGCAAAGAGCAAGGTAAGTAAAGCTGGAGGGTCCTGGCTAGAGATGGCATGTCACCCCTGCCCCACCCCCCCTGTGAGCACTGGCTCTCTGGCAAATGCTGATGTGCATACGAAACCTTTGACTAAAGACAGATGGAGGGAAGCAGCTAGGGCAGCCACGGGAGGGAACTGGGTCAGACCGTAAGCATGTCCCACTGTGAGACAAGTGGCAGGGCCTTGCTTTTCCCATGTCGCATCAAAGGGGGGAAAAAAAACAACCCAGCATTGGGGATGGGGTTTGTTAGGGACTGTGTTAGATGTTTTCCCTTCTATGACCTCACCCTCCTCCCCCGCCAGGCCCTCTACCTCCTCTTAGAGGTAGAGCCAGGGCCACTTCCACCACGAGCACAAGCTGAGACATTACACACACAATGTGTCCTTGCACCTCTTGCCCCTTTATACATTCCTAGAAAAGAAGCACGCTGCCGGTGCCTGAGCCAGCCAGCCAACAGCAGGCTCGGCCAGCCAACAGCAGGCTCAGTTCCGCGGTTGACTGTTAATTATCTTAACAGTTCTTGGTTATTAATGATCTCGGGCTCCCTCCTGTCTCCTCCCGGTTTCACCTGCTGCAACCTTCTCCCCCCCGCAACCCCCCAGCTACACATGTACCCTGACTCGGGGTCGGGAAAACAAGGACTCAGGTCCAGAAACGTGCCCGTCAGTTAACCCTGTCACTGTTGTGTCTGGGTCCAGTGCCCTTCCAGGGAGGGTGCTGTCCGTGCTCGCCCAGACCTGTTGCTGTTGCCTGGTTCCATCTTGTGAGCAGGCACGAGGCAGTAAGTGAACACGGCCACAGTAGAGGGGGTGCCCGTTTTTAGGGCGATCACAGTCTGGCCATAAGTGGAAATGAGTCTGACCTTGAAATTTTTCCCTAAAACAAAACTGAAAAGTCCCCAGTTCTCATGGCTCCCGCCCAAGCAGGGTGGCCATTGGAGCCTGCTGAAGTAACACTAGCTACTGTAGCAGAGGAAGCTGGGTTGGCCTCAGGGGGCACTGGACCCAGCACTCCCCTCCCCTAACTTCGCCTCCCTCTCTGTCACATGGGAGAAAATGTCTGCCAGTCTCCTTCTCATCTAACCTACAGGGGACAGCAGGACTCAAGCTTTACTTCCTAAGCAGCACAGGATTGAGTCTGACTGGATCCGTGATGCTCACCACAGTTGGAATGGTGACCGGTATTCCCTCGACTCACAGTCATTGTTGGAGAACAGATGTAGCTGCTGACTTGAAAACTTGAAAGACTGAAAAAGTCATCTTTACAGTGGTCCCCAGAACTAATGATATATGTGACAGTGAATAGTAGTCCCCTGAGAAACCCAGAGGGAGGGTGGAGTAGGATAGGTGTAGAGATTGTTGCACCTGAGAGGTTTGGGCACAGTGAGGGTGAACCATGCCTGACCTAGGATGGCACCTGTACCCAGCTTCTAGGGACCATGGGCCAGGTCCCAGACCAGACTCCCCAGACCAGGCCCCAGACAGGCTATCACTGACACTGTCAGTCTCCCAGACAGCCACTGTCACCAGCAAGAGCCTGTCTTTTCAAGAAGACTGAGTATCAAACTCAATTCTTCACTCCCAGAGCCCCTATACTGAGCACATTTGTCACAGAATACCTGGAACTGCCCAGAGCTCCTCCTCCCTCCTGGACACCCTTGGACCTAAGACTTCCCCGGATGGAGTTGTCCACATGCTACACTCAGATGCCACAGCCCAAAATACACCCGAGCATGGCTGGACTGTGCACCCTCTAGGATGCAGAATGAGGCAGCCAGGACCGACTGGGCTGTAAAACGTTGCTTTAATGTTCCAATGCTCCTATGAAAAGAAATCCCAACCCATTGGAACAAAAAGTGGGATGGCCCCATCCCAACCTCCATTTCCAATCTCTGTGTCTCCAACCCAAGGCCACAGCAACCACAACTAGGAACTGGTTGACGCCAGGACAGGGACACATTTTTACTCTCTGTGACTACAAGACATCATGTGATGAGCAAGACCCCAGCCCACACCAAGACCTATGCTGCTAAGTTCATAAGCTGGCCTTTTCACTGGGTCCCATGGCAAGGATTTCAAAGTAGAAGCCAGAGGAGCCCAAGCTTGTCTGTCCCCACAAACCTGGCCAAGGCCAGCCACAGAATCCAGTCCAGCAGTAACCAGAGCTGCCAGAACCTCACACTTCTGATTCCAGGCTGGAGATCCGCCTCCAGGTGCAGGACCTTGGAAAACCTTGTGTCCCACTGGCTTCCCTGCTGACCTCTTCCAGCACGCCACTGTCCCTGTAGCTTCTGCCTAGCCCCAGGGTCCTGCCTCTGTGTGATGGAGGCTCCCAGGTTCCAATGAGCCAAGGGCTGTGGCTGGCACAGGGTGGAGGGTGACGGCAGACAGTCCCCCAACAGAACGGCAGGTGGGAATGGGTGTGCAGGCAGACGTGCTGTCTGGGCTGCCAGGTGGCCACCCCTGCTGGTACGCCCTCTGCACAGGTCTCCCGGTAGGACGGAAGCCGCAACGACTGTGCCTGAGCCACGTGCCTGCAGGATGGCTGGCTTTGGGGACATGGGCAGGCACAGGCGTGACCGGTGCACCTGGCAGGCAGAGGGTTGGATCGAGTGAAGGCTTCTGCCACCGAGCTGGGCAGGGAAGCGTGGCGAGGGCGCGAGCCCCGGGCCCAGGCGGCGCGCAGCAGAGCCTCCCGCCGAGCCAGCTGTTCCGGCCCGAGCAGCGGCAGGTCGTCGGGCTCCGGGGGCTCCGGGAAGAGCGGGAGGAAGGGGCGCCCGGACCTCTCCGCTCGAGGGAAGGAACTGTAGTGGCAGTGCGCTGGCAACAGGGAGCGCTCCGGGAGCGCGCGCCGCTCCGAGACCGAGAGGTGCGGTCCCTGATGCTGGACTCGCACCGGCCACCGCGCGTCCCAAGCGTGCCTGCAGGATGCTCGGGACACGTCGGGCGGGGGCGGCCCGCACGTCGCAGGGCGGGGCAGGGGCTGTGGGGCCCTGCGCGGTAGCGGGGTGCGGCCCCCACCGGGAGGCCTCCAGCCGCTGGGACTCGGTTGTCCCGGAGGACCCGGGGTGGATGACCGTGGGCCGGAGGTGGTAGGAGCAGGCGCGAGGCGATTGTTGCCCCAGTTCTCGATGGTGCGGGTGGCGCGGTCCAAAGAGCTGCTCACGTCCGCGGTGTTCACCATGTCTCGGGCCGCCTGCAGCATCTTGAGCACATTGGCCTGGGCTGAGCCTGCTGTGAGATCTGGACTGGGCGGCCGCGCAGGGCTCGGAAGGCTCTGTACCCCGTTGAAGCAGCTGTAAATGCCCTAGTCAATAAAGGGAAGACAGGCCGTGAGCTGAGCCATCTTCGCAGGGACCAGCCACCACTGTCCCAGGCCTTGTTCTAAGCAACAGCTTTTTAAAGTCCCAACTGTGTGCTCCTTGTGTGTCAGGTAACACGCTGTTCTGAAGGTGAATGAAATATCTAGTTTTCTTGTTCTAACGTTCTAGCAAACCTCAGGGAAGATTCAAAGCCCCACCACGCTGGCCAACCACGCCCCTTCGCGAGATCTGTTTTAAATCTAAATGAGTCTACAGCAAGCTGGGTTGCTGTGCTGCCTAACACGAAGACCTATGTAGGGAGAGGCAGGCACCTACCCTGCTGAAAGCCAGCAGGAAGTCCAACTGGGATGAACTGGGCACCGAGTGTCGAAGTTTCCAGTAGACCAGGTGCTCCCAGGCAAAGACCAGAAGGGCCAGCCCCATGGCCACCAACAGCATATAGAAGACGCCGGCCATGTTGTCAATGTCCAGCTTGCTGCTCATGACCTCGTTCTTCTCATTCTGGCAGATTCCCGAGAGCCACACTGTCTCCAACTTCTGCGTCTCGCCTGGCAGAGAGTACATGCAAGACACAGGAACGCCTCCTTCAACTGACCCTACCAACACTTGCCTGAAGCCTGGCGAGAGGACAGTTAGGCATCCTTGTTTCCTAGTGGGGAAAAGTCCAGCAGAGGCGGGACAGGGGCAACCAGTAAGGAAGGAGAAAAGCCAGAGAGAAACCAGCTGCAGGATTAGTGCCAGCCTAACCACTTTGTATGCCCACATGCCTGTAAAGTCTTGGTTTTGTTGTTGTTTGTTTCTTTTGAGGCAGGGTTTAATGTGACAGGCTGGCCTTGAACTTGACAGTAGGCAAGGCTGAGCTTGTGCTACTGATCTTGCCTCCTCCGCCATGCCTGGCAGTCAAGGCTTGTTCATTGATTACATTTTAGCGTTCGCTCACCCATTCATGCTATCATCGTTTGCTCTTTACCACAGACATGCCAGGCCCAAGCTAGGCCCCCAGGAGATCACAGGCAATCTTGTTTGCTCTCCTTAGTACACAGAATTTATGGTATGGACAGTGTGTTGTGCTTAAGGTTGGGGGAGTTGGGATTTATTTTTAATGATGTGCCTGTATATGCATGTATATGCATGTCTGTATGTGGGTATCATTTGAATGCTGGTGCTCAGGAAGGTGGACTGTTTCCAACCCCTCTAAAGCTGGAGTTACAGTCATTTGTGAACTACCCGCTGTGGGTGCCGGAAACCAAACTCAGTCTCTCCGTAAGAACAGTATATACCCTTAGCCACTGAGCCATCCCTGCAGCCCCAAGGCCTGGGGAGTGTTTTGTTCTATTTGAAACAGGCTCTTGATTTGTAGTTCAAGCTGGCCTCAAACTTGTGATCTCTGAAG